TAGGATTCACTGATTGAGTCTCCTGTGAACTCATTCCCTCATGTCCTGTAGACCTAGTACATTAAGACCTACCCCACCTCACTGTATCGTGTGTAAACCAAGTGTGACGTCATTATGTCTACATTGTATTTAGGGGTCATCCTTGCTGGATAAATTTATTTTGCCCAAATACTGGGTTACATATATATAGGGAGCCATAACATAGCTCAAATGGTCCCCCAAATCCTCTGATTTCAATATGATTTCACATAAACCCTTGGAGGCTACGGTTAATACTGTTTATAATTTGGGAATTTTTCTGCACAGACTGTGATCTCCTGTATTAGCCTTTAGTTGGACCGAGAGAGAACACTATTTTCTTGGCATCAAAGGCTCCTTTGGTACTTACTGTGCATCACTGGTTCATGAACGACTAGGACATGCAAGAGGTGCAGCCCCATTGCTACCAACAAAATGAATACTCCCAACCAACATGGTGCTTTTCAACCAATTAAGTTGTGCTTCTACTCAAGGCAGATCGAAGAGATCGTTTGGCTGAAAAATTAGGTAAGATTGTTTAAATATAACCCTACATCAACAATTTTTGTTTTCCGTTCTTGCATCTGTAGATGGTTGAAAACAGATCTTAAGAACTGCAGAAAGTAGATCGATGTAATTTGTTAAATCACTGCTGACAAGTTTGAGGAAAAGGACTTTTTGGGAAGTGTATTTAAGGTGTTTTGAAGAATAAAATGTACTTAGCTAATCAAGTAACAATTAAAAAGAATTGGAAAAATAATAACTAAGAAGATGAGATTTTTTAAAAAGAAACTCCAGTGATGTGGGCTCGTATATTATTTGGCCCTGATCTTTGTCGATTTCACGCTTCTTTCAATGATGTTTCAATTGGTAGTAAAGTGCAATCTACATTTTGAAATGGTGGCCTTCATGAGTGTGTAGTAATACAGCTTGGAATTAAAACATGGTTTATTTAGTTTCCCTAGTTTCAGTAGTTTGACAGAGAGACAAGAACAAGCTAGTCCCTGGAGGCCGTTCTCTGGAGTGTAACAAATCAGAGATATCTTATCACTGGTGACACTACTCAACAGGTATGGAAACAGTCTACATCACATTCTGATATTAGTCCATGGTAATGGTAATGGTGAGATGCCTGGTTGTTCTGTAAATCTTGACCTTGGGTTTTGTCTTTTAAGTTTTCAACTAATGAGAATCTCCGGCCTTTAAGGTTGGGTTGAATTAAACTACAAAGAAATGGAGGGAATTATTTGGTGTGGTCGTACAATTTGTGCCAAAGTGAACAGAAACAAGACAGAAGCTGCATCTATGGGCTGCTTGCAGTGAATGAGGAGTGTACTGAAATGAAATGTCCTAATCGGGGATCCAAATTACATACAAGGATGAGTGTA